GACATGATTCTCGTGTGACGGTGTCAATACCCTGAATTTCTTGTAATTATTATTGTTGTCTTTGTTGTTGTTGTTGTTGTTGTTGTTGTTGTTGTTGTTGTTGTTGTGTCAGCAATACACATGTGGACATAGTGTTGTGAATGCGAACACTGCAGATAAGGAAATGCGATACAAAATAATGAGGGTGCATCTGCATTTGTTAGCCAAATGTTAGTTAATTAATAGTTAATTGTTGATAACACATCACCAAATGATTTAGTTATGTTCTGTATTCGTCAACGTGATTAGCATACTTCAAAAAGGGGTGCGGACCCTTGCACACCAACCCTTGCACCTCCGCACCGCTGCACCTCCATCACCAATTATCAGTTCGTTTCGTGAGTTAACTAAACTAGCACAACGCGATCGTAGCGCTAAGATGATCTTAACTCCCGCACTTTAACATAGGCTTACGATAGTCTTAGCGCTAAGATCGCTTTGTGCAAGTGGGCCCTTGGCAAAAGAAAAGCGATAATACCCTTTCTACTTTCATTAGAGAATCTCTGCTAAAGACAAACACATGCAAAGGCAAGTCATTTGTTCAGCTGACAAAGACATAGGAAGATATGGTACAAGTAAAAATAAGGAATTGCATCTTACACCATTCTTGTCACTGGTGCGTCAAATTTGGTACTTCTTGAAAGCTTGACTGAGGCCTTGAATGTACACACTTGAAAATTGGATTTTTTTTAAAAATTATCAACGTTATCAAAACGTTGCTAGACTGAAACAACTGTTGCTAGGCTGAAAACAGTGAGTGAGTATGTTTTTACGCCGCTTTTATTATTCCAGAAATATCACTGCGGGGATCACCATAAAAGGGCTTCACCCATTGTACCCATGTGGGGAGTCGAACACGGGTCTTTGGCGTGACGAGCGAACCCCTTACCCACTAGGCTACTCCACCGCCCCACCCCTTAGGATGGAACCGCGAGGCTAAAACCAACTGTAACTACTTCCCCAGAGACAGTTAATGACCTCGACCCTGTCAAAACATTATTTTTTTTGTTGACATGATAAGACATTTCAATGAACTTTTCAATTTTGAAAATCTAGCCATGCATACTAATATTTGTCATCGACAAAGATGAAAATACCGGGGCTGTATCCGTTTGTTGAATGTGTAATAATTTTACAAATATTTAATTGAACATTTCATATTTGGTTTTACGTTTCGGCGAACAGCCAGTGTTTAACGTGCCTACATGACGACAAGAATGTTGCTATATGAGATTGCGTTTGGGACGCACACTGTAACTCTTGCCTCAGTGGATTTTTCAATAAGCACAAAGGATCCTATTTTGAAAAACAGTTTGGGCAAGGTTCTAAATCCTTGTGTCAATATTTAATTTAAGGAATGCGAACACTGCTTGTCAATTGATCTTTAATAGGATGGTAAATGCTGTCTTCTGATTCGTTAATAATAAGTGTCTTCCGGGTTCGTCTGGGTCACGGAATGTGCACGCGCTATCACTTCTTGTGTTGTTGAAAACGGGTGTTTTTCTGTTTCGTATGAGTCAACATTATACATTGTAGCCGCGCTAAGCAGTTTGGGATAATAAGGTTTGTGTGCCAGAGGCAAAGCGTTACTTAAAGCACTCATGTTTGAAAGCACACTTCAAAAGACACGTGAGAACTTAAATATAGGTCACAATATCATTCGCACACATCTGTTAAATTCATATATTAGTCAGATGTCTCAGGGCAAATAGCAGTTAAAATGTATCTTTGTTGTTTAACATGCCGTTTTGTGTCTTGCCTTTCACAGACTTATTCAACGACATCTTAAGCGACTCACTATTTGTCTTCCGGGTCAGTTGTGTCACGCATGCGCTTTGTTGCATTGTTCTTCTCGTCAAGAATGTTCCGGGATTTTAAAGCGAACAACAATCCCCATTATTAAACGATTCACACTTTTATATTGACTCCTCAGATTAGGTGCATGGGAGGATTTAAATCGGTCTTCTTGGAAATCCGTTCCCAAGAATTCAATTTTCCTTCAAACGGTATCGAGCCTCAATTTTTTTTATCTAAATAACTTCGGATTTAGTTTTTTTACCGTTATGGAGCTTCAATGATGTATAAGTTTATTTTTGGAGAATTGTCTCAACATCACAATGTGCTCTGAATATTTGCAGTACTTTACTTCATCGGTGTGTCATTAAAATATTAACATATTTAGAGATAAACATGTTTAGAATTAAAGCAGCTTTGAACAAGTTTAAAGTGAATATGTATAAACATGTTTTGAATATAAACATGTTAACAGTTTCAACATGTTTAGAATTTACAACAAAATGTATTTTATTGTGTATTGTCCTAATCATCAAATATGAATCAGATGTATAATATATAATATATACTGGGAGAGAGTGGTACATTTAGACCCTTAACACGTTTGGCTGTTAAACACAATCCTGAACATCTTTAGACCTTGAACCAAAAAATGTACAAATTAACCAGGCTAAGTTATGGTGAGTAGGAGAAGTGACGTCTGTGGCAACAGTCTCCGATGTGCTGAATGATTAGCTGAAAATAAAGGTGTGTCTGATTACTAAATAGACCTTCAACTTTTGTAAGTTACCCCACCCCAACCCCAACATCTACACCCCCCAACCCCTCACACACAAACATACTTCTATATCGCCATCAAACGCTAAAGATACATGTAAAAAAAGCTACCCTTTTCAATGCATTTCAAGGGGCTAATGCGGGTCTTTCCCACAATTAGACCCTAAACACGTTCAGCTCCTAAGCATGTTTAGACTTTAACGCATCAAACATTTGGGACAAGGTTTAGGTCTGTGTTTATGATCGTAACACTTTTTTTTGCAGTACATGCTTGTCGTAAGAGGCGATTATCGGGGTCGGCTGGTCAGGCGCGGTGAGTCGGTTGTCATCTTATCGCAATTGCGTAGATCGATGCTCATGGTGCCAATCACTTGATTGTCTGGTCTGTTTTTTCTTGGTGTTCAAAAGCATCACACGTTGCCCGGTAGTGGGTGTTGTTTCACTCGTCTCGGGTTCAAACCAAGGTTCCCCTGAATATGATCCTTTTCACCACAATTGTAATCGTCACGCTGGCGTGTTACCACGAGTGAGTGAGTGAGATGTTACATCTCTGAACGCTCTGAATATAATTATATCACGCACTGTTAGCGTGATGACATTTGGTGGTGCAGGTCTCAGACGTTTACCACTTTTGTGAAACCCAAGGAGACAGGTATGGGTCTGAAAAAAAGAGAAACATAATCAGGGTGAACTGGGATTCGAACTCACGATCATAGGTTTTCGGCAAAGGAACACGACTCCGCACAGAGACTTCACTGTTGAACGTGGTGTTAAGGCTAAACTCGCTCACCCTCATGTTGATAGAGGGGCGGTCGGGTAGCCTAGCGGTTAAAGCGTTCGCTTGTCACGCCCAAGACCCGAGTTCGATTAACCACATGAGGCTAATGTGTGAAGCCCATTTATGGTGTCCCCCGTCGTGATATTGCTGGAGTATTGCTAAAAGAAGCGTAAAACCATACACACTTTATGTTGGTAAGTACAGAGATACATTGGGCACTTTGAACCCAGGCAATATTACAAACATTAATATCAGGGATTATCACTAACACCAGATTACCCCTCAGCTGTTAATCCGGATAATATATAATTGGTATATTGTTTTTCCTTGTTCCATCGTAAAGAGTGATGATTGCCGCTGAAAATGCTTAATGTCACACTGCATAGAGACATTGCTAAGGAGTTAATTATTATTCATCACTCGGGCGCAGCTCAACCAACGTCAAGATGGAGATGAGGCTACCTGGTTTGTGCTCGTCATGCATAGAGAGTGAGTTTTCTTTTACGCCGCTTTTTAACAGTACTTCAGTTTATATCACGTGGCCCCGCTTGGTGTGGGAGGAAAACCTGAAAGCACAGACCAGTACCACTTGGGTAAAACCGACGTCCGCGGGTATACTGATGACAAATTATCAGTGTGAATATAAGATCCGAACCCAGGGACAGCGGATCCTGGCATGGCAAAGGGGCGAAACTGTATGCAGAATTGTCGTACATCCGCACCCTATACTATCTGCAAGGGTAATAGAGATTAGCATTTACACTGTAAAAAATTGTGTTTAGATCACAACACAAACCGAAACGCGATCCTTGTCCCATGACGCGTTTTGGTCAAAGCATGTTAAGGATCTGAAAATGTTTAGATGCTGAATGAGTTTAGGTCAATATGTGGGAAAGACCCATATCCCCCTCGCAGTTGTAACCTGTAACTGTTTGATTTAGTTGTACATTTTTTGCTTCATATTGTCCTGGTGATATATGCGTTATGCAAGTGCTGCGAATCTGGTTTGCACATCTGACTTCAATATATCACACATGTTTAGATTATTAGGATAATAAACAATGATATGCATTTTGTTGGAAACTCTAAACTTCTTGAAACGTGTTTAAATTCTACACATGTTTAAACTCGAAATATGATTAAGTTCTAAACATGTTTAAACACTAAAGATGTTTAATTTCTTATCATGTGGATGTTGTGTTTAGGTAGTGTTTATGCTGTGATATGACAGTTCATGTCATATGTTTAGACCCTAAACGTGTTTAGATATAACAGACCAATCTGTATTCCGTTTAGGATTTAAACACATTCCTCATCATGTTTAGATGTAAACATGTCTTGTATGTGTTTACATTCTAAACACATTTTATATTGACAAGTAGAAACATTAAATCAAATTAAACCCTAAACCAGAAATACGTCATTAGCTAAAGGGTTTTTTACAAAATGGCCGAAGTGGTATTTCGTAATCGGATTTATATGTTTTGCTAACAGCATCACTCGAATAGAATACATTGATGAGAAACTCTGATTGGTTGGCCATAGCCGCGCCTACCTCTGAAACCAACCCGCCCATCTGCGCATGTGCTTGATAAATGGACGCGTTGCTAAATTGAGGTTCTGTCAACATACTCCTTCTGCGTGTGAGCGACTAACGGCGACAACTCGTTACCATCACCAACCTTAAACATGGTAAGAATATGTCTTCCTTTCTCTTCAGAGGATAAAAAGTATTAATGTTTTCGCTTTCCAAGTATAATTATGTTAAAAACTAATAAATCACTAAATATATTTTTTTAAATTCCATATATCGGAGGAAATTGTAAGATTGATTTATTCGTAGGTTTGTTAAACGGAATAATTGGCTGAATGCTTAAATTCAATTGTATCAGTTTGAAATGGTCTGATAACTGAAACAATTGACAGGACTGAGTGTTGGTGTCAGATGTGTCATCACAGTGATGTAGGGCCGGGTGGGGGTAGTCGAGTGGTTAAAGAGCTTACTGGTGTCCCCTGGAATTGCTGGAATATTGCTAAAGGCGGCGTAAAACCATACTCACTCACTCTCTCACTCACAGTGCACTGTAATGCATAAGGTGACGGATAAATCATTCAATAAAATAACTACTTTTTTTATTAACTTTTTACCATTCTTTTTTCACAACTGTTTTTATTTTTATGAGACGACTGAAATTTGTTTTTTATGTGAAAAACGTTTTCAGAAATGTTTATATGTTCTCTTGTGTCTAGGAATGGGAGGTGAGGTAAACTGGGTGTAAAGTGGCGAATGCACGTGTGTGTGTGTGTGTGTGGTTGCTTGTACTAGTATGTACTTATCCCGGCTACCCACTGAGATACCATGCCACAGGGAAACATCATACTATCATTGTTCTATGCGCTAAATGCGTGACATCAGGCAGGGTAACAACAAGTACCATCTTTTAACGTCTTTGGTATGAGGCGCCCAAGGGATCGAACCACTGACCTTCCGCTCTCCGGCAAACGCTCTATGTACTCCACCACCTCGTACGTGAGGATGGGGAGGAAGGGGGCGGGAGGGGACATGCGTAACAACGTAAATTATCAACGACGGGGATTGTTCTCCTTGCCCCCTTTGGCACTCTTGCTAACATTCGTGTAGTTGTCAGTGGTATATAATGTACACAGTTTACCCTCGATAATCTGGACCAGAGAATTTCTGAAGGTATGAAACATGAGTATTATATCGTACACAATCTATGCAGAAATGAGGTCTCTTTCACTGGGCCAGGCAACCAATCGGTTGACGGTATAACACAATATTACGTGTTCTCATGCGGGAACTCTATTCCTGAGATCCCGGATGCTACAGCGACCTCTGGTGTATAGGTTCGCTGTGTAGTTATGCCCCTCAGCTGTGTCAGGATCGGCTGAACGTTAACATAAGTTATGTATATATGTATTATATCTTTAAGTTGGATTTCAGCTGAAATATCAGTGAAGACCACGATGACTTATGGATTGCAACGGTTTTTATTATTTTAACGTTGTGCGGATGCAAATACCTGTCCTAAGTCCTTGAATAAACGTCTGCCTTGTGTAGACGCCGGGTGTCTCTGAAATAATGGACCCCCGGGATCTACTGACTTAATGATGTACTGACTTTAATTATCTACTGACTTAATGATGTACTGACTTTAATGATCTACTGACTTAATGATGTACTGACTTAATGATGTACTGACTTTAATGATCTACTGACTTAATGATGTACTGACTTTAATGATCTACTGACTTAATGATGTTCTGACTTTAATGATCTACTGGCTTAATGATGTACTGACTTTAATGATCAACTGACTTAATGATGTACTGACTTTAATGATCTACTGACTTAATGATGTACTGACTTTAATGATCTACTGACTTAATGATAAACAGACTCAATGATCTACTGACTTAATGATAGACAGACTCAATGATCTACTGACTTAATGATAAACTGACTCCATGATCTACGGATTAAACTATCTTCCGAAGCTATGGACTACGGCCTCGGACTTAATGATCTACAGACGCAATGGTCTCCGAACTCAATGATCTACTGACTTAATCATCTACTGACCCAATCATCTACTAACTCAATCATCTACTGACTGAATGATGTACTGCCTTAATGATCTACAGACGCAATGGTTTACGGACTCAATGATGTACTGCCTAAATGATCTACAGACGCAATGGTTTCCGGACTCAATCATCTACTGACTTAATGATCTACAGACGCAATGGTTTCCGGACTCAATGATCTACTGACTTAATGATCTACAGACGCAATGGTTTACGGACTCAATGATGTACTGCCTTAATGATCTACAGACGCAATGGTTTCCGGACTCAATGATCTACTGACTTAATGATCTACAGACGCAATGGTTTCCGGACTCAATCATCTACTGACTCAATGATCTACAGACGCAATGGTTTCCGGACTCAATGATCTACAGACGCAATGGTTTCCGGACTCAATCATCTACTGACTCAGTGATCTACAGACGCAATGGTTTCCGGACTCAATGATCTACTGACTTAATGATCTACAGACGCAATGGTTTACGGACTCAATGATGTACTGCCTTAATGATCTACAGACGCAATGGTTTCCGGACTCAATGATCTACAGACGCAATGGTTTACGGACTCAATGATGTACTGCCTTAATGATCTACAGACGCAATGGTTTACGGACTCAATGATGTACTGCCTTAATGATCTACAGACGCAATGGTTTACGGACTCAATGATGTACTGCTTTAATGATCTACAGACGCAATGGTTTCCGGACTCAATGTTCTACTGACTTAATGATCTACAGGCGCAATGGTTTACGGACTCAATCATCTACTGACTCAACTATCTTCTGACTCAATGACGGCCCTATACACCATCGTACAACAAATTCGGTTGACGGTATGACTCCACGAGAACGCAATTTCACGTGTACAAATACGGGAACTCCATGTTTGATGGTACAGTGACCTCCGGCGTATACGTTGCTGTGCAGTTACGCCCATTAGCTGCGTCAGGATCCGCTGATCTTCGTTGGATCCCAGATTCGCCCTGTATTTTCTGAAACCTGTATATGCTGATTTATTATCCTTCGTCTTAGTCAATGTAATAATCTTAAAGAATTTCATATGTGATTTTCCCCAGACTCTCCGTCTTCTGCTGCTGATGGTGGCTGTCGGTCTTTGTTCAGCCCAGTGTCCGACCGGGTGTTCCTGCACCACCACCTCCGTCACCTGCAACGGCCTCACCTCCATTCCCACACTCGCCTTCCCCGACGTCACCTCCGTCCGCTTCAACAACATCAACAGCAACATACCCTCGAACGCCTTCAGATCGATGCCCAAGTTGGAGTCCATCACTATCTCCAATGGCAATATCAGTTCCATTGCGCCATGTGCCTTCAGCGCCATTCCCGCAAAGTCTATTACCATCTCCAGAGTCCGCATCGGCATCATAGCATCAGGAGCCTTCAGAGACTTGAACAATGTTGCCAGAAGGATTTCAATCAATAATGGACATATTGGCTTGATCTCATCCAACGCTTTCTACCGACTGTCAAACATTATGTCCATATACATTCAACGTAACAACATCTCCACCATCCAAACAGACGCCTTCAACAAGATAACTAACAGTAGGGCCTTTTACTTCTACTACAACAACGTCACCAACCTCAATGGCTACGCTTTCGCCTCCCTGGAGACGACCTCCTTCTCCTCCACCTCCTACTTTTACAGAGGATCCATCATGAACGTGGGATGCAAGGCGCTGGACGGTCTGAAGTCTGTAGCGTATGTCACCCTCAGATGTGACTGTGACATGGTTCCTCTCATCGAAGGTATGACCCCTCTCGGCTACGTCGATTGCTTTCACCAGTCACAACTGTATGACGTCATTTCCGGCAGCGGCAACAGCTGCACTAGACCATTCATTCCAGAGCCAAACTCCTGTTAATGAAAAGGCAGATATGTCTATGAAATAAAAGACTGATGTATGTGTTTTAACCTTGTTGTTATCTTATTTGTAAATACTGTAAACGTGTTATCGTACCACCAGGGACTTTGCTCAAATACCAACCATTGGTTTGTCTGGTCTTATCGTTTACTCTATATTCAACACCTCCCTGCTTCAAGATTTGAGGGGTGCACGGGTGGCCCAGTCGTCTAAGGCGATTTGGTGTGCGGAGTTGCGTCCCTTTGGCACACCAGAAACCTATGATTGTGGGTTCGAATCCCGGTTCGCCCCGATTATGTTTCTAGGTTTGTCAGCACCATACCCGTGCTCGTGGGTTTCAACACTGTAGGGACAATAAAGAACTCGGGGCTGCGCACCTCATTGTTTATTCTCCCTGCAGAATATATATGTCGAACCAACGACCTTCTGCTCTCGAAGCAGAACCCTTCCACATAAGCATACGTTATGATAGACTTTAATGCGCTTGCACGTTTGTCATACTGCCACGTTCAGAATATGTACGCCAATGTTTTCCGTGCATCATGGTGAAGAAAATGCATCGGGGCTGAGAAGAGAAACACTTGGAAGATAGTATGCTTTAAGGAATAGTTCGTAAATATTTTATGTCCGATTCAGTTACTTTCGTCAGCTGAAACATGTTAACGTCATGTTCAATGGGAAAGTCTAACAAATGTTTACTCGCCCGAAATAACGTATAAGGTTACTTAGGCCAATAGTTCGTTCCTTCCTTCCTTCCTTCCTTCCTTTTTTCGTTTCTTAGTTAAATTATATATATTGCAACAAGCAAAATCACAAACGTACCCATTAGATCTATGTGAAATGGCGCTCAGAAACGACAGGGTCTAAAATATAATTACATGACATGACCTGGTCGCTATTTTCGCCATTCGGAACAGACCGTTTACGTTCGTTTTCGAGATGCCGGAATGTTGCTTGTTTGGGTTTGCTCGTTTAGAATCATCCATGTTGTTTGGCTTATTAAAGAGTGAAGCGTTTGACGGAGAGTCGGAGTAACATATCTGAAGTATCTACATTTACGCAATTTACAATTTCTGTATGAGAGTTTCCTTATTAAATGTTAAACGTTTACTGATGTCTTAAGCCGATGGGGTAGCCTAGTGGTTAAAGCGTTATCGAAGGTCCAGGTTCGATTCCCCACATGGGTACAATGTGTAAAGCCCATTTCTGGTGTCCCCTGCCGTGATATTGCAGGAATATTGCTAAAAGCGTCGTAGAACCATACTCACTCACTCACTCACTGATGTCTTAAATGCATCGTGGTTTCAATCACATCAACATAGTAGCTTACAAACATGGAGGGGCGGTTGGGTAGTCTAATGGTTAAAGCGTTCGCTCGTCACGCCGAAGACCCGGGTTCGATTCCTGACAACGGTACAATGTGTGAAGCCCATTTCTGGTGTCCCCCGCCGTGATATTGCTGGAATATTTCTAAAAGCGGCGTAAAACCATACTCACTCACTCACTCACTCACTCACTCACTCACTCACTCACTACAAACATAGAATCATAACTAAACAAAATCAGTTAATAAAACAACCATGATGCTCCGTGTGTATTTAGTTAAAGGAGTATTATGTAAAATAAGCTACAACGTTTGGTCGTTTTAACGTGACCCGTAATCATGTCCTCAGACCTTTGATCTGATTTTAATGAGATTGACAGAAGACAAAAGCCAAAGGCAAATGGAGTTTAATACCTCCCTGTTTACGATCAATTCTGGGTATTACCATGTAACCGGAGCAGTCAGAACAACCAGCCTTAAGGGTGAGTCTGTTGGGAAAGTCTACACACGCACACGCACAGGCTCACGCATACGCACACATACGCGCACGAACAATGGGACAATACTCAATAATTATTATTCTAAAATCAGGAAATTTGTTCTTCCGTGCGATTTCGCAGTGAACGGATTAAATGGTTTTCACTGAAAATTATATGGGTAGATATAACATGGTTGGATAGGCCGGAGACATGCGTTTATATATACAAATATAACTGCGATCAATGACATTCATTGATATCTGAAACTGAAGATAGTAATTATGTGGGCAATATATGGCTAAATACAGTCTGAATAATCTTCCACACAGCAAAAAAAGTGTAGGTTTCCTTCAAATTTCTGGGTATTTTCCAGATAATTTTTGTATGTGTTTCATATGTTTGGGAAGGTTTCCGGAAGGTATCCGGGCCGGATCCAGAGTGGGAAGGTATCCGGAAGGTTTCCGGAAGACGGAAACCTTCACTTTGTTGAAATGTCCAAGGTCGCATCAAGGTTAAAGAAAAAGTCAATACCCCGAATTGCCTTTCTTTTTCAAATTGCTGCACATCATAAATGGGTATTGATAGGCATTTAGAAACTGGAGTTGAGTGAGTGTTATTTTACGCCGTTTTAAACAATATTCCAGCATTATCACGGCAGGGGACACTTGAAATGTATCCATGTGGTAATCTTCGGGGTGACGAGCGAACGCTTTAACCACTAGGCTACCACACAAGGTAGGATTAAAGTAACATTGTTATCTTTATACATTAATCCTACCATGTGAAACATGTCAACATGTATATGTATTATGCTTATTCGGTATTCGCCAGATGAAGCTTGGGGCAAAAAGTAGCCCAGAAGCGTTACAAAAAATAAAGAAGTTGTTATCCAAGTTTCATGTCTTCAGAATTAATGGAGGATGAAAATAACCAAACATTTTTCTTGGTTAAAGAACATACAAATTACAAAGCAGAAATTTTAACAAGTATCATGTTTCAAAATCAGTTGCTGTTCATAAAAACTTTAGAAAGCCTATTGCTTTTATACCCAATGAGAGAGTAAGGAAACTGCCAAACCAAATATGGTACGCGAGTTTCGAGGGTCTATTCAGGGGGTAATCGGGGCTCAAAAGTGCATGCGGGACACAGACAAAATCGCATGGTGCGCAGATTCAACATGTAAAAAATATAATAATTGTGTACGCAAAATATTCCAGGGACTTGTTCCTCTGCGTTCGATATTCTGCCTTTGGAGACTTAATTCTGGCGTGTGCTTTGATATTTGTGTTAAGTAGTATTCGGGATTCAGGGGTGAGCAAATGAGTGAAAAGTGAAAAGTTAGATGGTATTCTGTATTCTGGGAAGGGGATGCGAGGAGCACCCTCAATACTGCATTTTACATCTTCAAAGAAAAAGAGAGGGGTTTCGAGTTATGAAAAAGCCCATTATGTTCAGTTGGTAAAAAAACAGACCATGAACACATTCCCCACTATCGTCCTTGAGCACATTACAATGGTCGCTTTGTACATGTCACATGTGTACTTAACACAAAACCACCTCGGGGAGCTCATCAAAAACATCTTCGTGTCACCTGTTCTTTGTAAATGCGAAATATTCATCTGAATTAATTGACTCAGTGGTATTTCTCAGGAGACCAAACCCAGCCTCTCAATACATTCTTTGTCTTTAACGTACATCCGGGTCACAAGGATGATAACGAGCTTCCACGTACTGTCTCGTTCAACCTGTTTGATGTTCTGGGGAATTCACGGGCCGAGACGTAAACTACCCTAGGGTACTACGCATGACGCCGAGATTCAGATGAGTTGTAAAGTGAGTGAGAGAGTGAGTTGGGTTTAACGCCGCTTTTAACAGTATTCAAGTTATACCACGGCGTGTCAGCTTAATGTGGGAGGAGAGCCCGAAGTGATGCAGGTCTCAGATGTTTACCACTTCGGTGAAACTCACGAGTGAGTGAGTGAGTGAGATGGGTTTAACGCCGCTTTTAACAGTATTCCAGTTATATCGCGGCGTGTCAGATTAATGTGGGAGGAGAGCCCGAAGTGATGCAGGTCTCAGACGTTTACCACTTCGGTGAAACCCACGAGCACGGGTATGGTGCTGACAAACCGAGAAACATAATCGGGGCGAACCGGGATTCGAACCCACAATCATAGGTTTCTGGCGTGCCCAAGGGACGCAACTCTGCACAGCGAATCGCGGCGCCTAAGACGTTCAACGTGTTTGATGTTCTGAGGAATTCACTGTCCGAGACGTAAACTCCCCAAGGGTACAACGCATGACGCCGAGATTCAGATGAGTTGTACAGTGGGTGAGTGAGTGAGTTGGGTTTAACGCCGCTTTTAACAGTATTCCAGTTATACCACGGCGTGTCAGCTTAATGTGGGAGGAAAGCCCGAAGTGATGCAGGTCTCAGATGTTTACCACTTCGGTGAAACCCACGAGCACGGGTATGGTGCTGACAAACCTAGAAACATAATCGGGGCGAACCGGGATTCGAACCCACAATCATAGGTTTCTGACGTGTCTGAGTGGGGTATTCATGTTCAACTGCGGCATGGTATCTCAGTGGGCTAGCACCATAAATCGGCATCGGTCCGGACTAGTACAAGCATGCGCGTCGCTATATAAGTGCAATAATCTTAGACGCGACGTTAAACCCAATTTCACCTCACCTCGACCATCGGAATCTGTTTTGGGGAAATCGACACCGGCTATTCTCTGGCGTTGACGGTGTATATTCATTTAATACGTGTAGATGCAATATATAATTATGTATCCATTGTCCAGCCAATTAGCTCATGAATATATTTGGCATGACGTTGTTCATTGGTCTGTCAGACTGTTAAGCGGGAACAAATAACTGCAGATTCTGATTACATTGCTAGATGTTTACTCTTTTGTACAGAAACATGTACCTGTATTTACTTGTGTCAGTCCCCGTGAAGATCCGGGTGACAATTGACCTACAGCAACCCATGCTGGTCTCCCCCCCCCCCCCCCCCCCCCCCCCAACGAAGTCCCCAGTCAGAACTAATCTTCAGTAACCCGTGACACAACGACAAGAATTCATTTTCCTAGCGAAAATACAATCAATTGATCTGAAATGATTAGAATTTATATCAAATAAATAATTTCTTCATAAAGCCGCGTTCCTTCTCCGACCATTGTGTTGACTTTCATGTTAATACAAAAAAGAAAACGCTGATAATAGGGCGGACACTAC